CTGGTCTCGTACCCGGTGTTACGTACCGGTGTAGACCTGGTCTCTTGTACCGGTGGTACGTATGGGTGTAGATCTGGTTTCTTGTACTTGGTCTTACGTACGGGTGTAGACCTGGTCTCTTGTACCCGGTGGTACGTATGGGTGTAGACCTGGTCTCTTGTACCCGGTGTTACGTACGGGTGTAGACCTGGTCTCTTGTACTGGTGGTACGTACGGGTGTAGATCTGGTCTGGGAATGCCACTTCTACTCCGAGGACCTAGACAATTGCGAAACCCTTCTTTCGGATAAGGAATAGGAAGCACATTTGGGCGTGTTCCGTCATATAGAGATGAGCCATATGGTTCTGTTGGGCCACAGAGCTCTCTCCCTTCAGTCTTGTTCTTGCGGCTCCAGATAAATTATTTGTTAATCAGTTGACCAACTTTGAAATTGGTAAATCTGAATACTAGAAGGATCTGGGAGTCATGATTAGTAGGAACCTTTAGACAAAAATATACGGCGAAAGAGGTAGGATTCTGGGATTTATTGCTGAAAGCGTTAGCAGTAAGACGTCTTCTTCCCGCTTTAACTTGCACCTGTAGGGACACAATTACATTATTAGTCGATTAGGTAATTTACATTGCCAGATGACCAACAGGGAGGCCTTGTCGAAGACCGGGCCGCGTGTCCGTGGATCCTCGAAACCTCCACACGGTAGACTAGGTGGGTAGTAGCTTTGGTGATAACTTGTTCCGTCAGGCTGTTAGAGCAATTCACAGCTCCACGTATCCACCACAGCCTGGATGATCCGGAGAAAGGGGGAGCATGCCTTGACCGGGAACCATATCTCCTGAGTTTCAATAAGCACAACTACGCTAACCTTGATACACTCTTGAAGGAACCTGTCTTGGAAAACACTTCCCCGCGTGAGGTTTGCAATAAGCAGTCAGGTGTTATTTGATATATTGCAGATTGGGTTAAAGATGTTCGATGTCAAGGTAGGATGTTGACATCTCACACCCACCTTCCCACCCCACCCACACCCACCTTGCCATATCTCACACCCACCCACCCATACCACCCACACTCATCTTCTCACTCTCCCACACCTACTCTCCCACGCCACACACCCACTCCCCCACGCCACACACCCACTCTCCCACGCCACACACCCACTCTCCCACCCCACACACCCACCCTCCCACCCCACACACTCCCTCCCACCCCATACACCTACCCTCCCACTCTCCCACCCCACACACCCACCTTCCCACCCCACACACACTCCCACAGCATCACTCTCCCATAGCATACACTCACTCCAGATAACAGAGCCAACTAGGAGCGAAAATACTCAAGATCTTCATAAACAATGAAGAAATAATCAAGGACATTACAATCTCAGATACTATATATACCCAGAAAAACAAGCTCATTGAAATTTAAACTAACATTAATACTCGTAAAATAATTTAACTCCCGAGAAAGATTATTCAATTAATTTTAATAATAAGATAATTAACTGTGACAAAATTTCAATATAGAACTTGCAAACATCCAATGGGAAGCCTTCTTGAGTAGCAAAACTCTCCGGAATAGAACAATTGACTGTAAAAGCGTACAAAGTGTGCTTGAAGCATGATCCTCTGCAGAGGGTCAAAAAGAGGACCACCCTATCTTGAGGTTATCTTGAGATGATTTCGGGGCTTTTTAGTGTCCCTGCGGCCCGGTCCTCGACCAGGCCTCCACCCCCAGGAAGCAGCCCGTGACAGCTGACTAACACCCAGGTACCTATTTTACTGCTAGGTAACAGGGGCACAGGGTGAAAGAAACTCTGCCCAATGTTTCTCGCCGGCGCCTGGGATCGAACCCAGGACCACAGGATCACAAGTCCAGCGTCCTGTCCGCTCGGCCGACCGGCTCCCCTAGAAAGAGAACGCAGACGTCGCTACAAAATTAGGACAAAATAACGAAAATGCCATAGGAGACACAACCACACAGAAAATTAAATCAAAACAGGGTGGATTATGAGAACGTTAAAATCCAAGGAGTCCACCACAATGCTCATACTAATTAAATCACTTGGGCTGTTCCTATCGGTACTTTCCCTTTCTGAGTAAGAAAGATTTCTGAAGTAGAGAGAATACAGAGAACATACACGGCACGCATAGACACGATAACCCACCTAAATTATTGGGACTGTCTCAAAGCTCTCAAGATATACGCTCTAGAAATGAGAGGAGAGTGGTATCAAATAACATGTACACAGAAGATACTGGAAGACCAGGTTCCAAATTTGCACCGCCACACATCTATGAGCTCAGATGCTTACCTGGCACGGGAGCGAGGCTGTAACTGTTTTTCGTGCTACACATTCTTCCCCTCCACAATTCTCTCTCTCTCTCTTTCTTTTCTTTTTACGTGGGCTATTTCAATTGACAGTGTTGCATGTTTCTTTTGTTTTGTACGAGGCACGCTGCATGAGTTTTGCTTTCACGTGATGTGTGTGTGTGTGTGTACTCACCTAGGTGTGCTTGCGGGGGTTGAGCTTTGGCTCTTTGGTACCGTGTGTGTGTGTACTCACCTTGTTGTGTTTACCGGGGTTGAGCTTCGGCTCTTTGGTCCCGCTTCTCAACCGTCAATCAACAGGTGTATAGGTTTTTGAGCCTATTGGGCTCTGTCATATCTACACTTTAAACTGCATATGGAGTCTGCCTCCACCACATCACTACCAAATGGATTTTATTTATTAACTACTCTGACACTAACAAAATTCCTTTTGTTTATGGCTCATTTGGGCACTCAATTTCCACCTGTGTCCATAAGTACGTGTGCCCCTTGTGTTAAATAAATTGTCTTTGTCTACCCTATCAATTCCTTTGAGAATCTTGCATGTGATGATCATGTCCCTCTTCCCCTAACTCTCCTGTCTTCCAGAGACGTGAGGTTTGCCTGGTAACCCCTGTGTACTCACCTATTTGTGCTGGCGGGGGTTGAGCTTTGACTCTTTGGTCCCGCCTCTCAACTGTCAATCAACTGGTGTACAGATTCCTGAGCCTACTGGGCTCTATCATATCTACATTTAAAACTGTGTATGGAGTCAGCCTCCACCACATCACTGCCCAATGCATTTCATGTGTTAACTACTCTGACACTGAAAAAGTTCCTTCTAACGTCCCTGTGGCTCATGTGGGTACTCAGTTTCCACCTGTGTCCCCTTGTTCGTGTGTGTGTGTGAGTGTGTGTGTGTGTGTGTGTGTGTGTGTGTGTGTGTGTGTGTGTGTATAGTTAGCATGAGCTAGGGATCACCACGATGAGGTAACTGTAGGTTGCCGTTTAGCGAAGAACCGTTTATGTTCGCTAAACTAGAAATAAACAGATACTTCGATGAGATGATTCTATTAATTTAAAGAAAACCAATTCCTTGATTGTTTTGTTTGTTGGGTGGGGACAACTGGCACTAATATCTTGCTCACTCCTCGCCTCAGACTAGGAAAACATGTTCTGTGTCATTTCCTCTCATATTTTGAATCTTCCCATTCAAAGTTTCTATGGAAAACTTAGTTTGTTGAATGAAGAATTAGTTTTTATTACGTGTTAGAACTCGGGTAAGTGTGTGTAATGGATATCTCGTGGATTTACCAACTGCGTTCGGAAGCTCTTGTGTGTTACACAGGTGTGTTTGTGTGTACTCACCTATTTGTACTCGCCTATTTGTGCTTGTGGGGGTTGAGCTCTGGCTCTTTGGTCCCGCCTCTGAACTGTTAATCAACTGGTGTACAGGTTCCTGAGCCTACTGGGCTCTATCATATCTATACTTGAAACTGTGTATGGAGTTAGCCTCCACCACATTACTTTTTTAATACATTCTACCTGTTAACTACTCTGATACTGAAAAAAATCTTTCTAATGTTTCTGTGGCTCATCTGGGTACTAAGTTTCCACCTGTGTCCCCTTGTTCGTGTCCCACCCGTGCTGAAGAGTTTGTCTTTGTCCACCCCTGTCAATTCCCCTGAGAATTTTGTAGGTGGTTATCATGTCTCCCCTTACTCTTCTGTTTTCCAGGGACGTGAGGTTCAGCTCTTTTAGCCTTTCCTCGTAGCTCATACCTCTCAGTTCCGGGACGAGCCTGGTGGCATACCGCTGAATCTTCTCTAACTTTGTCTTGTGTTTAACTAGGTATGAACTCCAGGCTGGAGCTGCATACTCCAGGATTGGTCTGACATAAGTGGTATACAGGGTCCTGAACGATTCCTTACACAAGTTTCTAAAGGCAGTTCTTATGTTGGCCAGTGTAGCATATGCCGCTGATGCTATCCTTTTGATGTGGGCCTCTGGGGACAGGTTCGGTGTGATATCAACCCCCAGATCTTTCTCTCTATTTGACTCTTGCAGGTTTTCACCTCCCAGGTGGTACCTTGTGTTCAGCCTCCTGCTGTGTGTGTGTATACACTTCTTAAAACCCAGCATCTGTCGGTGAATCGGGCGGACGACACAAGGAACGTTTACTATAATCCCAGCGTGGTTATCTTCGCCGCTATCTCTGTTATCAGACAACCCGGCAAGCATCACAACCACCCCAGGAGATGCCACACACCGCCCTCCTCTCCTATCGCAATTAGGTTTACAAGCCTTGGTACTTACTATGGGAACGCCAGCCTTAGGGAGGGGGGGGTTTAGTTAACACTTGCTTGCCCACTCCTTTAGCTGTTCGCCGCGGTCATCTGGGCTCCTCGTGGAACCACAACTTTGCCGGCAGTTCGTAGATAGCGAATCCTGAATCCGATGAGCATCGCGGATTATATTAATTGGTCAATAATTCAACTCGGCAGCAGATATTGTCGGAAGAAACATTGTTCAAAATACAACAAATATTTGCGATGTGTTTAGTTACAACATACGTATCATAACATTGCTAGCGTGTTCGGATTGTCGAAGGCGAATCCATGGGCAGGTGAGGGGTTCGGGATGCGAGGTGCTCAGTATCGGTCGATATCAGATATCAGGGTTGGGGTATCAGCGGGCCAGCCTCACTCGCTCTCTTACAGTGGTGCCGACTGGCAGTCTTCTCCACCGGTGCCGGACTGACACAGCAGAACACGCCACATCCCCGTGTGTCACACCCTGCCACCGGGCGCTCATGCCAGCCACCACACTCTCGGACGCTGCCCTGGCTCAGCTTGGGCGCCGCATCGCCCATATTCCTTCACCGTCTTGACGACACCTGTCAAGACTTGGCCGTGATAGTGCGTGAACATAGTGGTCTGAATAGTGAATGTGGTCACAGGTAATGCACCACAGCTTTCATTATTGTGCTCCTTGATAAACGCCTCTTGAAGGGTATCTGATCAACTGGGTTGTGATTCATGCGTCAGACTAACACCAGCGGTTTCTATCGGCCTGGTTGACTAAACCACCCAACCAGGAGGCCTGGTCAGAGACTGGGTCGGTGGGGACATTGATTCCCGGAACTATCGCAAGGTCTCACAAGGCGTCTCCTTGTTGACGCCTTGTACGCCGTGACGCAAGTGGGGTGCAACGCGTCAGTGAAGGAGGCGACTGGCGGTGTGTGTGTGTGTGTGTGTGTTCGGCGTAGGGGGTGTCGCGGGGTGTAGTAGTGTGGCACCCGATGGGGGCGGGGGGGGGGGGGGTGTTGTGGAGATTCCAACCTTCTCCTCCTCCTCCTTTCTTCCTCCCACAGACGTTGTCGGTGCGCCACCGTTCACTCTACTGTCCGACACATTATAGTACTCAGGCACACACCAGACTATAATGCTTTACCATCCAACGCTGTAATTGTCTAGCACCCGCTACACTGTAAACTGCTACCATCCTACACACTATAATACTCTTCCAACTGACATACTGTAACTATCATCCGACACTCTGGCACCCGTCACACTGTAATGCGCTGACACCCCACCACACTATGCTTATACCATCCTACACACTATAACATTTTGCTACCCACCTCACTATAATACTCCTACACCACCAACACTATAATACTATAGCACCCGACACACTGTAAATCTCTGGCATCCGTCTCATAATACTTGGGCACTCGACACACACCTCCAAGACACCACCCTCACACACTATGAGGGATGTGGCAACTAGCTACACTCACATATGTGGTAACTAATGTAATGGATATTGTCTCATTTATCCCGGACGGAGCCCCAAATGTAATGAGTCCCTTCTGGAAATCAGACAAGCCCCCAAATGGCTGGTAAAGGCCCGCCCAAATCTGGAAAGAGAATCTTCATCCCACCTTAAAACATAACAAACTATCAAACTCCTAAGGGAGGTGCACAGCTATCCTTTCTTCTCCTGCAAGCAGCCCTCCTAATTGAGCGTCGCATTTTGACGTTACTCTACCTTAGGCCAAAATTCGTCGTACTAGAAAATGGCAGCGGCTTGTGAAATTGCAACCCATTCTCCTGTTTAGGTAGAAATTGTAACCCATTCTCCTGTTTAGGTAGAAATTGCAATCCATTCTCCTGTTTAGGTAGAAATTGCAACCCATTCTCCTGTTTAGGTAGTACTTTTTGTAACTGTGTATCATAGTACAAATATTGACGTACTAAGCACTCAATAGAATTTTGTACTATTCACTTTATCGTCCGAAAAAATTAAGCTAAAAAAACGAACTTAAATATTCTTTGGCCTAGTATAGTACACACGTGTACTGTATTAGGTTTAGGAAGGTTAGGTTAGTTTAGTTTAGTTTATCTTTGCAACATAAGTAGAAATCTTTTCCAGTTTATCCAGATTCATTAATACCGATTTCTACTTTCTAATTGCGTTGTACGTCGGTATATATACTATGGTCCTCATCGTCACTATAAGTACCACTAAAACAGGAGGATGAGCTGCGAAATTGATATACTGTCCTGTTTTCTGTTTTGGGTCCTCTGGTACGCCGGGAGAGGGCACTTTAGTACGACAGTTTCTTGACGTTGGGAAACCTTAGGGGGACGGGCAGATTCCCAGGGAAGTAACAGTAGTCAGAGTGTGGGAGATCTCTGCCAACGGCCTGCATGAGGTATACACACTCTTGGGCAGGCGAGGAGTCACAATAACGTGGCTGAAGTATGTTGACCAGACCACACACTAGAAAGTGAAGGGACGACGACGTTTCGGTCCGTCCTGGACCATTCTCAAGTCGATTGTGAGACTTGTGTGACACAGTCGACTTAATAATGGTCCAGGACGGACCGAAGCGTCGTCGTCCCTTCACTTTCTATTGTTGGGTCTGGTCAACACGCTCTTGGCTTAGCCCTGCTGTTTCTGTCGTTCCCTGTAGTCGGTCAATGTCTCCACTCCCAAGTAATTCTCTCACTCCCACTCCCATTCAGTTAAATCAATCTAGAATCTTATTCAGGCTCGTCAAGAGAATACAGATTCAATCTGTTAAACCAATCTCCACCCAAGGTCGTCAAGGCAGGGAGCAATAATGCTTTACTCTAGTGTTGTGACATTTACTAGTAAGATTGCTTATACAACACTAGCCTCAAATGACAACATTAAACGTTATACTGGCACTAATAAATAGATGTAGGGAGGTAGACCTTCATCACTGGAAGGTCTACCTCCCTACAACTTTGTCCGTGTCCTCATACGATCTATTGTCCGATAGCCTCGTCTGCTAGGATTTTTACACAATTTCTATCATTCTTTCACAATAAATTATTCGTAAAGCCTCTCCGCGGCCAATAAATATATCATTTCATTATAATCAAAGATATATAAACACAATAATTTCACTGAAAACCTAAGCATCAATATTGCAGTTCAATAACACATTAATGGCATTTGAATAATAATCTCAATGAAATCATAAGCATCAATATTTCAGTCAATAACAGATTAATAACACCTGAAGAATAATTTCAACGAAATCATAGGTATCAATATTGCAATTCAATATCAGTGATATCATTTGAATAATAATGTAAATGAAATTCATGAGTATCAATAACGTAGTAATCTATTCCCTACTCATGCCATCCACTCTCTCTCTGGACCAATAAATTATATATGGAAATTAATATTTTCCTAGAAACTCGTACTGGCATCCACTGCATCATTCTTAACTCCTTAATTTGATCTGTAGGACACAATTTGATTCATACAAAAGGTAAATATCTGAATGAACCAATTTTTTTTTCGTGGGGACATTTCCTGGAGCCCGGGTCTATTAGGCTACCCGATATTTCGGTAAGTAATCCTGATTTAGGTTTGTGGGGTCTCCACAGGATCCCCCTCACCAAGCTCTGTCCTAACTAGCTATGCTCACACATGTGGTAACTAGGTACGCTCACACATGTGGTAACTAGGCATACGCACACATATGGTAACTAGCTACGCTCACACATGTGGTAACTAGGTACGCTCACACATGTGGTAACTAGCTACACTCACACATGTGGTAACTAGCTACGCTCACACATGTGGTAACTAACTTACATATGTGGCAACTGGCAAAGCGTGATGCGACGCCCACATTAACATTGATGATGCCCATATCAATAGTTGTTATGCGTGTATAAATAGCTGTCACTATTCCTAAATATGGTTTAACCTTAAAAAAAAAAATCGATTGTTTTGTCTCTTAAAAAAAAAGTAGCACAAAATCATGTCGAACATATTGCGCATCTTGATTGTGATTTTGTTTGTTAACCAAACAAATGTAAACAATAACGATATCTGATATTGGTTGTAATGGCATTTCTGGGTCCTTCCCTCTCCTTCCAGTACCAATATGGTATGCATTAAATCAATATTATTTGGACGTAATTAACCAAATATTTTGTATACCCTACTTATATTGTTACAAGTATCAGGTCTTATTGCTATGACTGTGATACAAGTATCGCCAAGGGAAGGTTTAAACATAAACCTGGCAGGTAAAAATTTATCCTATTTTACCCAACCAGACACTTAATATGAACCGAGCCTACCAAACCTTAAGCTATTGAAGCCAGTGCATCAAAACCATCAATATTGTGATGCTCTCATTTATATTAATACGTTGATTTTTTATAAAGGATTCCTTAAGAAGTACGACGTAATAGGCTAGCGGATGTCGTTTGTAGTACGCAGAATTCCTGGATCGCTCAACTAACTAACTGCTACATTGTTTCTAATGTAGTTGCTATACAAGAGTGCCCCAAGAACATTTGGTCAGGTCATGTGAGGTGCGTGTATGAGGTCATAGACTCATCGGTACATGGGTTAGGTCAGGGGGCAAGGAATCGCCATAGCTGTGTTCAGATACGCGTGTTGATCAAGTCTCCACGCCACTGCTCCCTATCACCAAAACGTCGTCACGGATTTAAACAAACTTGTTTATCAAATATTGGAATGCACTGTTGCCGTAATTCAAGCAGTTTTCCCTGTTATCCTTTGTCTTTTTCTTTTTAATTCCCTACACTAACACAGTAACAATTTCCAATTTGTGTAGGTTTTTTATACTAGAATATAAAGGACAACATATGTCTACATTTGTATATCACATAATATCGATAACCTTATTAATCGTAATCTTCAGTTACTTCAATTTCTTTCGTTATTATGCCCCCCATACTCATTCCGTGGCCGGTGGTGGAAAAGGTTACAGAGGTACATAATGGGTTCAGGAACTGAACTGTTAGGAAAGTGAACATTCGTAGTTGATGCGGGTTATTGAGATGGTGGAAGATGTTACTTTCTCATGTGGACTCGCAGGTGTGGTCATGGGTTGCCTGGCACTGCAACTCGATTTTGCGAACGTTCCCAACGTCAAGAAACTGTCGTACTAAAGTGCCTTTTTCTAACCTACCAGAGAACCCGCAAACAGAAAACGGGACATTGTCAATTTCGCGAGCCGCTATCATTTTCTAGCATGAAAGTTTATGGCCTTATGTAAAGTATACTTAAAAATGCGACGTTATATCAGGACTGGTTGCAGTGCGCATAGGCTGACGTCTCTTTCTTATGGGTGCCACTAATCATACCTGTATTGTACCTGGATAAGGTTCTGGGAGTTCTTCTACTCCCCCAAGCCTGGCCCTTAATTTGAGAGCTTGGTCCAACAGGCTGTTGCTTGGAGCGGGTCGTTTTCGCTGACATGATCCTCGACGTAGTGTATTGTAATCCTACCTGGTGGTGCGAGGCTTCTAGCCAACCCTGCCGTTGGTTGTAGGTTGGGTAAACGCCTTGGCCAGCTTTCATCAATCATTTACACAACCACTTATGAAGCCAGTGCATCTTTCCTCAATCACGGCAGCTTTGTTCCCATTTATTAAGCAGCTTATGATTCCGAAGCACTCTGAGGATACACACAGAAATCACAATAGCGTATGCATCAAATGAACAAATCCAGAGTGAACAAATTGTAGATTTGTTCACTCTGAGGATGTTTATATAACAACCCGTCCTCAGGCCAGGCTCGTTAACGATGCGGCTGTCATTCCCCTCCCCCCCCCCCCTTCCCAAGATGCATTGATTAGTTGTAACGTGTATTAAAAATAGGTTTGTTCTCGTTTATATATTTAATGTTTTTATATATTGAAGTTCTGTGTATAGTGAGGCGTAGGTTAGGTTCTGTTGACGATTTTTTTTTTTTTGCATGAATATTCCTGCGCGGGCCTTAAGCCTCTGGATAGCCCACTAAGTGTTACTTGTTTCTGTTTTACTTAGGCGGAGTATGAGTATTTATGACTCGTATGGTCGCTTCAATAAGATTTTGCCCCCATGTGTTTAACACGTTCTTCTGCTCTGTTGAATCTAAGTTGAAATCTTAATGAGTTTGCAACTGTGCACTGTGTTAGATACTGTTTCAGTGGTCTGTCGGGTATTTCTCCACAGTGCTGACATTTTCTCTCATCTTCTGAAACCTGTAAGGCTATTTCCCATGCACATTGGTATCCAAGAATGATGCGATGTAAGTGTACTTCTGTTATTCTACAGCTCCCTTTCATCAAAATAAGTGGTTCGTAGTTGGTTGAATTCTTGTACCAACCCGCAGATCCTGATGTTGCAGCTGTTGTGTTGTGGTCACTGTACATATTTTGCGTTGCTCTGTTTCTAATTACTTTCTTAATCTGTGATAGACTCTGTGGTATGTAAATGTCTACATTTCTTCTCTTAGTTACAAGTTTTGCAGCTTCGTCTGTAATGCCATTTCCTATTATTTGATGTACGTGGGTGAAGCATTTACCAACCCGTTCTCATTCTATGTTCATTCCCTACAGCAGCCCGTCCTCCAAACAAAGACAACAGTGAATCCATGCACCCGCCAGATCCCCTGCTCATGAATGAAAAACAGTTTACACACGACTCACAACTGATGACGTTCGAACACTTCCGGACAAGTGCTTCACTAACGAATTTTGTTCGAACCACAACGCTGTAAATGCTTCACCCACGTACTACAAATACAAATAATCGCCAACCGAATCTAAACACCTAACCTAATCTAACCTATGCCTATACATGCACAATATGCTAATATATTATAATATTAATTTGAGAAAATTCCTGCTTTGAATGAACAGCATGTTAAAATTTATGACTGCGGGGTCGACCGCTGGATGTAATGGACTTGAGTCGAGGACGGGTTGAAAACAAATAATCGCCAACAGAACCTAAACACCTATCCTAACCTAATCATTGCCTAAATATGCACAACATGCTAATATATATATATATATATATATATATATATATATATATATATATATATATATATATATATATATATATATTATTAAATATGACCGAAAAAGTAAGATTAATAATTCTAACACGAATTTTCTTTATCTTTCGTACATTTCTTTTCACTGTTGGTGGTAATTCAAAAATCAATTCTCCAAAATTCATTTTTATTTCTAGTCTGACGCGACACTTGAGCGCGTTTCATAAAACTTATTACATTTTCAAAGACTTTAGTTTACACATACACAACTGAATAGAACTTACACATCTCCGATTTGTTTATATCTACATTTGAGTGAGGTGGATGGGGTGAGGTGGCATTAATAGGGTATTAATTTCATCAACACAAGACAGAACACGAAACAATGGGTATTGAATGGAAGTGATTGTAGAAAGCCTATTGGTCCATATTTCTTGATGCTTCTATATTGGAGCGGAGTCTTGAGGTGGGTAGAATATAGTTGTGCATTAATTGGCTGTTGATTGCTGGTGTTGACTTTTTAATGTGTAGTGCCTCGCAAACGTCAAGCCGCCTGCTATCGCTGTATCTATCGATGATTTCTGTGTTGTTTACTAGGATTTCTCTGGCGATGGTTTGGTTGTGGGAAGAGATTATATGTTCCTTAATGGAGCCCTGTTGCTTATGCATCGTTAAACGCCTAGAAAGAGATGTTGTTGTCTTGCTTGTCTCTTTCTAGGCGTTTAACGATGCATAAGCAACAGGGCTCCATTAAGGAACATATAATCTCATCCCACAACCAAACCATCGCCAGAGAAATCCTAGTAAACAACACAGAAATCATCGATAGATACAGCGATAGCAGGCGGCTTGACGTTTGCGAGGCACTACACATTAAAAAGTCAACACCAGCAATCAACAGCCAATTAATGCACAACTATATTCTACCCACCTCAAGACTCCGCTCCAATATAGAAGCATCAAGAAATATGGACCAATAGGCTTTCTACAATCACTTCCATTCAATACCCATTGTTTCGTGTTCTGTCTTGTGTTGATGAAATTAATACCCTATTAATGCCACCTCACCCCATCCACCTCACTCAAATGTAGATATAAACAAATCGGAGATGTGTAAGTTCTATTCAGTTGTGTATGTGTAAACTAAAGTCTTTGAAAATGTAATAAGTTTTACGAAACGCGCTCAAGTGTCGCGTCAGACTAGAAATAAAAATGAATTTTGGAGAATTGATTTTTGAATTACCACCAACAGTGAAAAGAAATGTACGAAAGATAAAGAAAATTCGTGTTAGAATTATTAATCTTACTTTTTCGGTCATATTTAATAATATATGTCTACAGGAAAGACTGCTACCAAAATATACTAATATATATATATATATATATATATATATATATATATATATATATATATATATATATATATATATATATATATAAGAAAATTCCTATTTTGAATTAACAGAATGTTAAAATTGATGAATGCGTCTTTGGGGTCGACCGCTGGATAAAATGGATTTGGTCTGAGGACGGGTTGAACAATAATAACCTTGGACTGTGACGTTTCCAAGCTCGTGCGCTGTTTAATACATGTAAACAAAGCCGCCATTATTGAGCAAAGATGTAAAGGTTTCTTAAGGATATGTTAGATGAATCCCGGACAATTTCCCCATGCACCCGGGCTCTGTCAACCAAATCCTAGGATCCTAGTGAAGGCAGTAGTATTCCAGGTTGCAATTTTTTTTTTAACTATGTCTTGGCACAGTTGACTAAGGAGCAGCTGTGAACATCCCGTGCGTAGGTTCGAACCCTCATCACGGCCCTTGTGGATTTGTTCATATGATATATCACGCTATTGTGATTTTCGTGTATGAAAATTAACTTATTCCAATACCATCTTCATTTTATAACGCACGTAGCAAGTTCTGATATGAAACAATGAGGCAGACCCGAGAGGCTCTGTTCAGGCAATGCGTACATAATGGTGAAACTTTATCTGACGATTGGTGACACTAAGTGATTATTGAAAACATGAAAATAAATGCTTTGTTAATGTAGTGATCTTGTTCATCAGTGCCAACTGAGGGAGTGGAAATTTTATAATGTTTTCTCTTTTTCATTGAATTAAAGTGAAGGCACCCGGACACGGCTTTTCGGTAGTTGGAATCAGTGGAACTCTCGCGTGATATTCTGGTGCTGGTATTGTGTGGGTGCTGGATGGGCGGACACTAGGCTGCGTCACACTGAGTGTTTCAACCCTGCCTCAGCCGGAGTTCTCTCAACCCTGCCTCAGCCGGAGTTCTCTCAACCCTGCCTCAGCCGGAGTGCTCTCAACCCTGCCTCAGCCGGAGTGCTCTCAACCCTGCCTCAGCCGGAGTTGTCTCTACCCTGCCTCAGCCGGAGTGCTCTCAACCCTGCTTCAGCCGGAGTGCTCTCAACCCTGCCTCAGCCGGAGTGCTCTCAACCCTGCCTCAGCCGGAGTGCTCTCAACCCTGCCTCAGCCGGAGTTGTCTCTACCCTGCCTCAGCCGGAGTTCTCTCATCCCTACCTCAGCCGGGGTTCTCTCAGGTTCCTCTGACAGTGATCTTCAGTTATGGATAACGAGAATATGAGCACCAACACCCCTGACTCTGCGAATATGGGGGCAAGCCCGGGCATGGATGGTGGTATGGGCCCAGGCATGGGTGGCGGGGCGGGTCCGGGCATGAGTAGTGGGGCGGGCCCGGGCATGGGTGGTGGGACGGGCATGAGGGAGATGGGCGGCTTGAGCATGGGCGGGTCCACGCGTCGCACCTCACGAGTGTGGAGGTACTTCGGCATGGTTGACAATTGTCACTACATCTGTCGACTGTGTTCCTTCGTGGGCGCCTACACCAACACGACAAACATGAGGAAACACATTCAGCACCACCACCCAGAGATATTCCAGGATATTCTGGACCACACGCGACCAACCAGCCGCCCCTTCTATATAGGCTCTTCTGTGCCGCGCATGCGGCCGCCTCAGAACTTTCCACAACAAACTTCTACCTATCCTGGCGGCCTCGTCTACCCACACACACTCTCCGGCAAGAGGATGATTTTGCCCAAACCTGGAGAGATGCCTTACATTCACGGCGACGCCAGGAGTGAGCTGAGCATGGCACCGGCCGCCACCTCCCAACATTATCCTCTGTCAACCTCTCACATGGCGCCCGTCGCAACCTCTCAGTCTTCAGTACCAGAGGCTTCGGTCGGGACGTCGTATCCTGCTGTGAGCTCCCAGCTCTCTGTAACGTGTCACGCCGCCTCGCCAGTCCAGCCCAGTAATGTTGCCGTGTGTGAACTTAGCCCTGAAGAATCCAAATTGGTGAGCCAGTTCCTTCCGCCTCTGACTGAAATCACCGACTGCTCCAGCGATTCGGAGCCAACTTCGAGAGGTGAGAATTAGGTATTGCTTACAAATTCATCTTTTTTTATGTAAAAATTATGTTTTGTGAAAATGTTTAAACCAAAACACATTGCATTATTATGTTTCGTGTGGAATATGCATATGTTAAGTTACATTTTTAATGAAATAATTTGAAGGAGTGGAGTGTTGGTAAACATTAGTTATAACTCAGAAACCACAATGCTGATATAATCCTAGTTATTTGTAAGCCATTATGCTTGGGTCAAGTTGTGGGCCAAGAGCAAGAGGGTCAGCGAGGAATGACTATTGAAGGGGTCATGCATGTGGTAAGGGGAGACAAATATATAAATGAGGATGACAAGCTTTTGGAAGGAAAGGGAACTATGAGGGGAAAGCACCAAGCCATTACGACTATATAGTACAGGGAAGAGGTCAGGATAAAGATTTGGGATGGAACGGGGGAAAGGAATGGTGCCCAAACAGGTATCAACCACTTGGACGGTCAGGGATTGAACGGCGACCTGCATGAAGCGAGACCGTCGCTCTACCGTCCAGCCCAAATGGTTGGGCTCAAGCTTGAGGAGAGGAAGAACTCCCGGGTATACTCCAGACTGGTGACCCCACAGACTGGTAACCCCACAGTCTGGTGACGTTACCAAGAGGTTATTTATAGCCATAATAACCTTGGAGTTTCGAAGCTTGTGAAGTTTCGAAGCTCGTAAACCGTTTAATAAATGATTGTTAAAAGTCGTAAGTGGTTGCGTAAATAAATGATGAATCTTGGGCCTGAAGACACCTGACGAAGCCTGAAAACACATGTTGCAAAAAACGTGACGACAACTGTGTTCCCAGCGTCAAATTCTTGTATTTTTATGATTCATCTTCTACTAAGGTCAATGGCGTTGTTAAATCTTCCTCTTGTTTCTCGGTACAGATTATATTCTATTTGCCTGTGCGTTAGTCATTTATTATGTATCTCATACCCATCCCGTTGGCGGTGGTGGAGAGTTACAGAGGCACATAATGCAACCCGTCCTCAGACCGAGTCCATTCTATCCAGCGGTCGACCCCCACAGACGCATTTATCAATTTTAACATTTTGTTCATTTAAACAGAACTTTTTTCAAATGTAAATTAATAATATTATATATAAGCATATTGTGCATATTTAGGCACTGGTTAGGTTAGGTGTTTAGGTTCTGTTGGCGATTATTTGTATTTGTAGTACGTGGGTGAAGCATTTGCAGTGTTGTGGTTCGAACAAAAGTCGTCAGCGAAGCACTTGTTCCGGAAGTGTTCGAACGTCATCAGTTGTGAGTCGTGTGTAAACCGTTTTTCATTCATAAACAGGGGGTTTGGCGGGTGCATGGAATGGATTTTGGGTCTTTGTTTGGAGGACGGGCTGCATAATGGGTCCAGGAACTGAACTCCATAGTTCAATTGGGGAACGAAATGCATGCATTAACTACATTAAGCAAATTTTGAATATTTGTCTAAGATTTCTGGTAGTACATCATTATGAATGAAGTACTTACGCATTTCTTTTAGAGTTGTTTCGCGGATGACGGCATTCCCAGCCTCCTTGTCTGAGCGGCCCGTTCCCCTAAGCGTTCCCGACGTCATTAAACTGTTGTATTAAAATTCCTGAACCTAACCTACCCGAGGACCCACGAACATAAATCGGGACATCACGTCAATTTTGTAAGCCGCTGCCATATTTAGCAAATCAGTTTTTGGCCTTAGGAAAAACGATACATCAAAATGCGATGTATTCAGAAGACCGGGATGCTCAGAGAACATGGGACAACTAACCGCATAGCCACTTTTTTTTTATCTTATTGTCAATCACACTTATTATTTGTGTGGGGGATGGGGAGGGGTGGGAAGAAATCAGTTGATTGACAGTTGAGAGGCGAGCCTAAAGAGCCAGAGCTCAACCCTCGCATACACAACCAGGTGAGTACACGCGCGCGCGTAAATGTAAAAATAATGAAGCTAGGTGTAGGGAACAAGAGGGCGGATACAAGGTACTATTTGGATGATGAAATCTTTCAAGAATCAAGGAGAGAGAGAGAAAGACCTGGGGAGTTGATATGAGATCACGCCAGACCTACCCCCTGAAGCCCACATCAATAGGATATCATCAGCGGCATGTGCTAGGTTGGCCAACATAAGAACCAACTTTAGAAACTTGTGTAAGGAATCATTATATACCACATATGTCAGACCAATCCTAGAGTATGCAGCTCCAGCGAGGAGTCTGTATCTAGTCAAATACAAGATTGGAGAAGGTTTAAAGATATGCCACCAGACTAACAATACCCGACCTGATGGGTATGAACTACTAGGAGAGAATATGGTGACTGAACCTTATGTCGTTGGAAGCAAGAAGAGTTAGGGGAGACACAATCACCACATACAAGATTTTCAGATAAATTGAGCGAGTAGATAGACAGTTTATTTAACATAGGAGGGGTTTTACATACAAGGGGAACTGAGTACCTAGATGAGCCAGAGAGACATTAGAAAAACTTTGATAGTGTCAGAGTAGTTAACAAGGAATGCATTAGGCAGTGATGTGGTGGAGCAGACTCCATACACTGTTTCAAATGTAGATATTATAGAGCCCAATAGGCTTCAGAATCTGAACACTAGTTAATTGACAGTTAAGAAGTGGGACCAAAGAGCCGAACCTCAGCCCCGCAAGCACAACTAGGTGAGTACACACACACACACACACACACACACACACACACACACACGTGTCATATCAGCGTCATCATCACCATTAGACTATCATCATCATCAAAGAGATTGTGGGAAGGAGAGGACTGCTATTTTTCCAAGGGGAAAAGCCATTACGACATGAATAATGTGAATAATGCTTGCACCAGCCCGCAGGCCCACATATACATTTTTGCAAGAAATTTTCCTGTTGCCCCTCGACAACTTAAACAATTCTTTTCCGTGAATATTTCTTATATTGGTGGCAGGAAGTTGAATAGCCGGTGACCTCTGATGTTAATACAGTGTTCTCTGTGCTTATAGCTCCTGTACTCTTCACCGGGTCTTATCTGCATATCCTGCCTTAGCGGCACTGATATCCTGTTCACCTTAACCTGCGCAGCGTGTCGAGTCCAGCATGCAAGGTTGGGACGTGAAGTCCTGCTGTATCGGATATCGGGCTATCGACATTGGATATCGAGGTATCGACAAGTCCACCAATACGCAGTAGTCGACGGTATTGGTCTTGATATTCGATAATGATACTGATCATGTGCTTGCACGGCTTGTGGTGGAGGGAGTGTTTTAGGGTAGTCAGGAGACCAAGTTTCAGCTCTGGTTTTTGCTGGATTTCACAAGAATTGGAGAACCGAATCCCGACTGGTCTGTACTCCCAGAGAGGTCTTCTGAGCCTGTAATTCGCCCGTGGTCGGTTTCGAGAGTTGTTCTGCTCTGTGCAGGTGAACTGACATTAGGGTTAAGTATCAGTCATAGATGACCTAATCAACCAGAATACCCACGAACAGGAAACGGGACATTGTGTAAATTTCGCGAGCCACTACCATTTTCTAGTACGACTATTTTTGCCCTTGGAGTATACTTCAAAATGCGACGCTCTATTAAGAGGATAGGTTGCTATGTGGGGACGAAGAAGAATGCTGTGGTATGGTCTGGTATTCCCGTTTTATAATTCTTAGTATTATATATATATCTTTTCTCTTGTGGAAGAAGTGGTCCCTTAGCCTCGGAGGAAATCACGCATAACGCATTAGAAGGGATGTTTAGGTCCCCCTCCAATGCAGTTTATATGTTCTTTTCTCCTACCACCCCCCTTCATTTTGTGTTTACTTGTGCTTTATTAGATATTTAAAGGTTCGATAGTTAAAGGTTGTAAGCAAGTTAGTGCATAAAAGCATAGACACGGTGTTAATACTGTACTGTAATCATAATGGATAGCTTGTTAAATAAAAAAAAATAAAATTGCTCAATATTGAATGTGAATTGGTGCTAAATTTTTTCTGTAAATACTGTATTTAATTCATGCCCGTCCTTTTTAATTTCTTGTCTTCTACCTTCTAACATATGTGATAGGCTTGTGAAGTGACCCAGTCTGCATTCCTTTCACACAGCTTTGTTTCTTAGTGCGAAGAAGTCAAAACTAATTCACTTTTTTGGTAGCAAAATCAAAATACGGAAATGCTTGACAAACATTTGAGGGGATACAGTATTGTACCTTGGGGTACAAAGGTACAACATTATAAATGTCCTGGAAAGATTTCACATAAAGTCCCATTTTAAGAAGTTAAGTTTCAACTGAATTGAGCATTAAAGATTTTGAAGGGTAGATGAATGTTTATATAACATTTGATAATGTTAATAACATTTAATATACCTGTATATAAATGTTTAATTGCTTCTATCTTTGTTGCCCTGTTGAACAGAGGATATGGTGTGTGTTATTACTGTGTTGACAACACCTACTGTGTAATAATGACTACTGACCAACATCCTCAGTACATTCAGATTTACTTGTCTATTAATGCACTGGGTTGTTATTTTTCCACTGGGTTCATTTACTAGAATAGCAGACTTATGTCCGTGAACTGTTCATTTCATACTCTTGTATGTTTCTAAGCACAGTACTGTACTGTAATCTTGATGGGTCATGGTAAATAGGCATTATTATATCAACATTTTTATAAAGAATTTTATTATTATTATTATTATTATTATTATTATTTTCTACCACAGATGTGGCCACACATTTACAGGTGCTAACCAGCATATATACATTTTCTTCTGTCCTCCATGGACAGGGTTAGAGATGTGTTAAACATATAGTTCAGGGGTTTATTGAACAATCAACCACAGAAGGTGATTCGGTGCTTTTAAAATGCTAAGCTAAACTACATACGTAAATACATAGATACACAGATTTACGTATGCCCTACATAAAGTGTTTGATGTGTCTTTTACATAGTGTCATTAATGTGCATTTACAAAGGTGAAATGTAATTCTTATAA